CGTTCACGTTCATTTATTTGCAATTCAATTTAAAGGCTTCATTCAAATTTTTGCACGTTTATAAAAAGTGGCAAGAGATTTTTGACTAGTGTAAAAAGTAAATTGCCAGTATATATTAAATTAGGCTGTATTACTGCTACATCATTTTAATGTTAATTGCAAATCAATTTAAAAACATCATTTAATTTTTTGCAAGTTTATAAAAAGTGGGCACTCTCTCTCTCTCTCTCTCTATATATATATATATATATATATATATGCTGTATACAATAACAAAAAAGGAACAACAGTTTATGGACTATTTTGTTCATTTATTTGCATTGCAAATAATTTATTTTAATTCATTTGCTATTTTTTGCAAGTTTATAAATGAGTGACAACAATGTGCCATTAAATTAGAAATTAGACAAATGCAAATATATACACACACATATCCTATATATACTGTTCTGTATTGAATAACAACACAAACAATCCATTTTAATGTTTATTTATATACAATATATGCATTAATCTATACAAGAACAAGCAAGATTGACTTGTTAGATCGCAACAGCTAGATTGCAAAGAAAAGCAATCAATATTAATGGACAATTTTAATCAATGAATCAATTAAGCAACCATGAGTGAAGAGCATAAAGTGCCATATGCTGGTTATACATTATACGGGTTATAGACTGTGCTGAACAATAATAGGCTATTAAGTGATGTATATCTCACATGACAGTTGAAACAGAAAGAGCTCATTCATGTTCCCGCTGGGGATGTCCTGCAGAGGTGCAGAAGCTGTCCAGTCTGGTTCTGCCCAGCGAGGTGGTCATCGCCCAGAGCTCGGTCCCGGGGGAAGGCCTGGGGATTTTCTCCAAGACCTGGATCAAGGCCGGCACTGAGATGGGCCCGTTCACTGGGAGCCTGGTGTCCCCGGAGCACGTGGACTTGAGGAAGAACAACAACCTCATGTGGGAGGTGTGTGTGTGTGTGTGTGTGTGTGTGTGTGTGTCCATGTCCATGTGTCCGTGTGTGTGTGTCTGAGAAAAAGAGCTGTGTTTGCTTCAGGTGTTTAACAAGGATGGTAGTGTCCACTCACTCACTCATTCAATCACTCACTCTCTCACTCATTCAATCACTCATTCAATCACTCATTCAATCACTCACTCTCTCACTCTCTCTCTCTCACTCACTCACTCACTCATTCAATCACTCACTCTCTCACTCATTCAATCACTCATTCAATCACTCATTCAATCACTCACTCTCTCACTCTCTCTCTCTCACTCACTCACTCACTCATTCAATCACTCACTCTCTCACTCATTCAATCACTCATTCAATCACTCATTCAATCACTCACTCTCTCACTCTCTCACTCATTCAATCACTCATTCAATCACTCATTCAATCACTCACTCTCTCACTCTCTCTCTCTCACTCACTCACTCACTCACTCTCTCACTCATTCAATCACTCATTCAATCACTCATTCAATCACTCACTCTCTCTCTCACTCACTCACTCACTCATTCAATCACTCACTCTCTCTCTCCCACTCACTCACTCATTCAATCACTCACTCTCTCTCTCTCACTCACTCATTCAATCACTCACTCTCTCTCTCTCTCTCACTCACTCATTCAATCACTCACTCTCTCACTCTCTCTCTCACTCACTCACTCACTCACTCTGTCACTCTCTCACTCACTCAATCACTTACTCACTCACTCACTCACTCACTCATTCAATCACTCACTCTGTCACTCTCTCACTCACTCAATCACTTACTCACTCACTCACTCACTCACACACACACTCTCTCACTCACTCTCTCATTCAATCACTCACTCTGTCACTCTCTCACTCACTCAATCACTTACTCACTCACTCACTCACTCACACACACACTCTCTCACTCACTCTCTCATTCAATCACTCACTCTGTCACTCTCTCACTCACTCACTCACTCACTCACTCACTCACTCTGTCACTCTCTCACTCACTCAATCACTTACTCAATTCAATTCAATTCAATTGAGCTTTATTGGCATGACTGTAAAATAGCACAATATTGCCAAAGCAATAGTAATATATAAACATATATGTAGATAAATAAAAGTGAAAAAAAAAATAAATAAAAATAAGCAACAACAATAAAAAAACATTTCCATGTTATGCATAAATATACCACAATAGATTAAAAAAAAAAAAAAAAAAAAAAAAAAAAGATATATACAATAAGTACAGAGAGCAGTTTAATGGAAAAGAGGGTTCATCCCTTCTCCCTCATATGATGGCAGGAGGACACGTACTGCGCTGCCAGGTGAACACACTCTTCTTTTTCTCCCAAAATATAAGACAGTTTGTTTATGGGGCTCACTTGTTGGAATTGAGGTACAATCTGTGCTATTTGTGTGAAATAAGCGTCTCTGATGTTTTTATACTTGCTGCACTCGGTGAGGAAGTGCAGCTCGTCCTCTACGGCCCCATCAGGGCAGTGCGGACACACTCGGAGCTCTCTCTCTCTCCAGCTCTGCTTATGTCGGCCCGTCTCCACACACAGACTGTGGTCACTAATGCGATACTTAGTTAGGAGCTTTCTCTGACCATAGTTACCGATATCAGTCAGGTATGGAGCCAATTTATAATCTGACTTTATTTTGTTGAAATATTTTAGTTTATTTAGTTGTGTGACCTTTATCTGCCAATCGTGTATGTATTCTTCTTTGGTTATTTTCCCTATTTCTTTTACTTTTGAGTGTCTGAATTGAATTGATGAGTTGAGTTGGTGTTTTTCCACTAAATGTATCATGGGGTCGCCCTCAGTGAGTCCTGCCCTGTATCTGAGAGCGCAGTGATGGTAACTCTCTGTCTGCGCGTCTGAGAGATGGAACCAGAACTTTACGGCTCTCTTCTGGATCTCCGATAGGAGAGGGAATCTGCCCAGTTCTGCCCGGCACCCCAGACTGGGGGCGTTTCTGTGAGTTCCCAGGATGTTTTTGCAGAACTCGAGGTGGAAAATTTCAGCCGGGGTTTTGTCCCAGGTTTCGTAATTTAGTTTAAATTTGGGCCCCCAGATTTCACAGCCGTAAAGAAGGATGGGTTTGATGATGCTGTCGAAGATTTTCAGCCACAGTTTGATGGGTGGGTTATATTTGAACAGGGGTTTTCTTATACTGTAATAAGCCCTACGTGCTTTATCAGTCAGATCTTTTATTGTAGTGTCAAATTTTCCAGAAGCTGAGATTGTCAGACCCAAATAATTATAACAGGTGACATGATTAAGAATTGTTCCCCCAAGTGTAAATTTGTATTTTTTGTCAGTAAGGCGAGGTTTTTTCTGGAAGATCATGATTTTGGACTTGTCCATGTTGATGGGTAAGGCCCAGTCGCTGCTGTACTGGTCCAGAAGCGAGAGGCTTTGGTGCAGACCCTCTTCATGAGGAGACAGCAGCAGGAGATCATCAGCGTAAAGGAGGCTTTTGATTTCTCTGCCCTCGAGGGTCATACCAGGACAAGAGGACTTCTCCAGAGCTGATGCCAGTTCATTAATATAGATATTAAAGAGAGTCGGGCTGAGGCTGCAGCCTTGACGGACTCCTTTAGTTTGACTGAAATAATCAGTACGTTTGTCGTTAATTTTTACCCCGCATTTGTTCCCGTTGTATATATCCTTTATGATGTCATATGTCCTTCCTCCTATTCCACTTTGGATTAGCTTTAGGAAAAGTCCATTATGCCATACCGAATCAAAGGCTTTTTTAAAATCAATGAAGCAGCCGAATATTTTCCCTTGTTTTGTTTGTTGGACGTGTTTTTGTACGAGTGTGTGGAGTGTGTAAATGTGATTTGATGTTCTCTGTTTAGGCATAAATCCAATCTGACAGCTGTTTAGGGTCTTGTGTTCTTGGAGGAACTGGACGAGCCTGTCGTTAATGATGGAGCAGAAGAGTTTGCCCAGGTTGCTGCTCACTGTGATGCCCCTGTAATTATTTGGGTCGTACTTCTCACCCTGTTTAAAGATTGGTGTAATCAAATTTGCTTTCCATATCTCAGGAAAGTGTCCTGCCTTTAATAAAAGATTGAATAATTTGAGAATTGCATCGGTCAATTTGGGGCTGCTGTGTTTCAGCATCTCATTTGATATTAAATCCACGCCGCAGGATTTTTTATTTTTTAGGGATTTCATCTTGTCTGTCAGTTCGTTCAGTAATATGGGCTGGTCTAACGAGGTTAGCTGGTCTTTTACAGTGTGTTCCAGGTTATAGAGTTGGGAGGTCAGGTGTTTTTGGGTGAGGGTTGGCTCGTTTTGGGAATAGAGTTTTCCGAAATGTTCGGTCCAGATATTTGGGTCATAGATGGGAATGTGTTTAGGTTCTTTTGGTTTATCTAATTTATTCCATAATTCCCAAAAAGAGTTCTGATCTACTGCCTCCTCGATCTTATTAAGCTTTGCTTTCATGTGATCCGCTTTTTTCTGTATTAGCATGGACTTGTATGTTTTGAGGGTTTGCTGATATTTGTCTCGAGTTTGTTGGTTTGCAGGGTCTCTGTGTTTTATATTTGATAATGCTCTTAATTCTTTTCTTAATTTTTCGCATTCTTTATCGAACCAACCATCTTTAGCAATTTCTTTCTTACATCTATATTTTTTTCTTTTTCTCAGGGCTTTTCTGGCTACAGTATAAAATATTTCATTTAATTGATGGGTTGCCAAATTGATAGTTTTTTTGTCTTCGCTAAATGAAGTAGATAGAAATGAGTCTATCATGTTGTGGACCCGAGTGCTGTGGAGCTGGGCTTCATACTGGGCCGGACTGTCTTTACCCCATATAAATGTGGAGGGGAGGGGGTGCAGTTTAGCCTTCGGGTCTGAAGGCCGGAGACTCACGGCTCTGTTCAGACTGAGGACTGTGTGACTGTGGTCTGATAATGGTAGCTGTGGCATTACTGTGAAATAGTTGAGTTTACTGTGGTCTACATCAGTGATGGCGTAATCTACTGCGCTGCTGCCGAGAGATGAGCAGTAGGTGAACCGACCCAGAGAGTCTCCCTTGATTCTGCCGTTAACTATATACAGGCCCAGACTCTTGCAGAGCTGGAGGACTTGTTTTCCGTGCCTGTTTATCGTGTTGTCATAATTCTGACGGGCCTTCGTGAAGTGTTTCCGCTGATATATATGTGAATTGTTAATGTATTTGTCTCCATCTGAGGTAATGTAATCCGCTTCCTTCCCCGTTCTAGCGTTCAGATCCCCCATTAACAGAACCGATCCTAGAGATTGAAAGTAAACGATCTCTGACTGTAGGGTTGGGAAGATATCTTCATTATAATAAGGAGACTCGTATGGGGGGATGTATGTGGCACACAGGTACATGTCCTCATCTAAACACAGAAGCTCTTTCTGAAGTTTTAACCAAATATGCGTTTTCCCTTTTTTGACAGGCTGAATATAATGCCACAAATGATCTTTAAACCAAACTATGATTCCTCCTGAATCTCTTCCGTTTTTAATGTTAGGCTGTTTGATTGAAGGGATTCGTAGCTCTCTGTAGTTTGGAGGAGTACAGATTTTGGAGTCTAAACGACACCATGTCTCAAGTAAAATAATTATATCTGAACTATATACAATATTAACAAAATCAGGGTTAGTAGTTTTCTCCCCAAAAGCAGAAGAGAACATCCCCTGAATGTTATAGCATGTTATTTTAAACGATGACATTGACATTTAACAATGGATTTACCAGAAAAATGTATGAAATTCATGACTCAATAATGTTTTAAAATATAGAGTTATAAGTTAGAAAATTATGGTGAGTCGATCAATCAAGTGATTAAGAAATAATGGTCATTCTTGACAGACACACTATAAGTATTTAAGCTAACATATTGTCACAAATAATCTCCAGCATGTGTTTGATCTGGATCAGGTCAGTGTCAGCTCTACCTGTTCCTGCCACTACAGCGGCGTAGCTGTCCATCGGTCGGACTCTCTCACGCTCAGGGGGTGTTCTCTGAGGCCGTTTCAGGGCTGACTCCTTGATGGTTTTAGCGAACAGTCTCATGCCCTCGCGATGGATGTGGAGACGGTCATATAGATGCTCGTGGGTGATGCGCTGATGGTTGGCTATGTGAACGTTCGGTATTGAAGCACAGATGTTGGCTATCTCTGCGTTGATTGTGTTGATGATCCTTTGAGGGACGTCTCTGCGGGGCAGAAGGGTTGAGATGATGAGCTTGGCTCCGGGGTAGATCCTGCTGGCTGTTTTCACCACGTTGGACAGGGCTTTAGTGACGTCCACCCTCGCACTGAGGTCGTTTGTTCCGGTGTGGAGGATGATGTGTGACGGTGCACCCAGCACTCCCTCTCGCAGCAGTCTCAGAGCAGAGTGTGAGGTGGGACACCAGAACTTCTTCACCGATCTGCCAGGGAACAGACGTCTGTGGTCAAGATGGTGGCCGTTGGAGTCACAGAGGATGACGATGTTGTCTTTATTCGCCCGATCTCTGCCGCTGCTTGTGGAGGGTGTAGTTGGTGGACGGTATGGTGGGATGCTGCTGCTGACTTTCCTCTGAGGGGCTTGATGAGATCGTGGGGTTGCAGGAGTGGAGGAGCTCTGTGATGGTGTCCTGACACACTGCTGATGTGTAGCTGTGGTTGGGATGCGTTCAGGAGTAAAGGAGCTGTTTGTTGTGTTGGCTGACACTGCTGATGTTGGGATGTGTTCTGGAGTGGGGGCACTGTGTGTTTGAGTGCTGACACACTGCTGATGTTGTTTTGTGTGCAGCTGGTTTCTGGTTTCTTCCAGCAGTCTCTCCAGTGTGTGTTCATGTTGCTCTCTTCTATCCAGCTCTTCTCTCACCCTCCTCAGCTCCTGTCGCAGCTCCTGGTTGGCCTCCTCCAGATGTTTAACGGCCGAGGAGAGATGTTGTAGTTGTTGATGGCTGGTCATATTCAGGAGCTGGTGGATGTTGTTGGTAGTTTCCTCTTTAAACAAGTAGTAGTCCTGCTCCAGCTCTGCGATGTTGTCTTTCAAGGCCTTTATCTTGGGAGATGCAGGAGTGCTGATGTGTCTGTCTGTCAGAGGAGATCTTGAGCCTGGGTCAGTGTTTGAGTCCGTTGTGTTGCAGAGTCCCTCCTCTGTGTTTATCTTCACTTCAGGATCTTTCTTAATCTTCTGAACCTCCACTTTAAAGTTTCTGAAGTTCCTCTGGAATTCATTGAGGCTGGTTTCTGGTCCCTGGACCATGACGGTTCCGTTATGATAGAGGTTCACGATCAGCTTTGTGTCGTTGTCTCCTTCCAGAGTGAGCTGTCTGCCTTTGCTGATGCCTCCTTTCCTTCTGCATGTCATGGCAGAGCTGAGGATAGTGTGCCAGGCTGATGGGTGTTCAGTGAAGAACAGCAGGTTACACCGGACTCTGTTGTCTTCTGGTCCACTGTAGTCAGACAGCAGTAACTCTGGGTTCTCTCTCAGGATCGTCTCTTTCATCTTTTTCTTATCTTTAGTAGATTTAACTTCTGCTGGGTATATTATCTCCAGCTCCTCTTCATTTTTGAAAAATGCCTCTGCTTTAGCTAGGCCCATGTTGTTCTCAACTGAAATAACTGCCACGGAATGTTAGCTTGGCTAGCAGTTAGCTTGATATGTTGAGTTTCTATGCAGATTTTAGGTGATGACAAAAAAATTAAATCTTTTTCAGAGGTCTTACCTTCAAAATCTTCTGCCTCTTTTGTTTCCAATCATCTAACTACAGGTTGAGTCATAAAAAACTTACATTTTCTGGCAAAAATGTTGTTGATGTCAGGAGCTCATATTTTTGCTGCCAACTGTCACCGGAATTCACTCACTCACTCACTCACTCATTCAATCACTCACTCTGTCACTCTCTCACTCACTCAATCACTTACTCACTCACTCACTCACTCACACACACACTCTCTCACTCACTCTCTCATTCAATCACTCACTCTGTCACTCTCTCACTCACTCAATCACTTACTCACTCACTCACACACACACTCACTCAATCACTCTCTCACTCACTCTCTCACTCACTCACTCACACACACACTCACTCACACACTCACTCACTCACTCTCTCACTCACTCACTCATTCAATCACTCACTCTGTCACTCTCTCACTCACTCAATCACTTACTCACTCACACACACACACATTCTCTCACTCACTCCCACACTCACTCACTCACTCACTCACTGACTCACTCACTCACACACACACTCACTCAATCACTCTCTCACTCACACACTCACTCACTCACACACTCACTCACTCAATCACTTACTCACTCACCCACTCACTCACTGACTCACTCACTCACTCACACACTCACACACTCTCTCACTCCCTCACTTACTCACTCACACACACACACATTCTCTCACTCACTCCCACACTCACTCACTGACTCACTCACTCACTCACTGACTCACTCACTCACACACACACACACACACACTCACTCAATCACTCTCTCTCTCTCTCACTCACTCACTCACACACACACACACACACACACTCACTCAATCACTCTCTCACTCACTCACACACTCACTCACTCACACACTCACTCACTCAATCACTCTCTCACTCACACACTCTCTCACTCAATCACTCTCTCACTCACACACTCTCTCACTCACACACTCTCTCACTCAATCACTCTCTCTCTCTCTCTCACTCACTCACTTCATTCATACTTCATGGAACCATTGATGCCAATAAAGAGGCTTTATGTTAATGTAAGATGTGTGTGTGTGTGTGTGTGTGTGTGTGTGTGTGTTTGAGGTGTTTAACGAGGACGGGAGCGTGCGCTGCTTCATCGACGCGAGTCAGGAGGATCAGCGCTCCTGGATGACGTACATCAGATGTGCTCGAAACCAGCAGGAGCAAAACCTGGAGGTGCTTCAGATCGGCAGCAGCATCTTCTACAGGAGCCTGGAGGTCTCAAACACACACACACACACACATTCTTCCAGAACACTAGCAAAGCTTGACAGCCAATACACACACTTTTACACCCACAAAACAATGACCTAAACAACACTAACAGTAAATGCATCAGCTGTGGTTGCGCCAATTTTTTTTATACCATTTAATTTTTAGATTCGAAAATATAATTCATTACAATATTACTGTAGACATGTGGCGATTGAAATGCTCTCATTCGGTTTTGTATTATGTTATTGTTTTGAACTTTTACTTTAGAAAAATGACTTGAGTATTGAGAAATGTGTCGTAGCGACTGTAAAACACTGTAGTCCTTGACAAGTGTCTGACAGATGAAGAACTGATGAAGCTCTCCTCTTCCTCAGACGATTCCTCCAGACCAGGAGCTGCTCGTGTGGTACGGGAACTCACACAACACTTTCCTCGGGATTCCTGGAGTCCCCGGAACAGAGGAGGAACTGCAGAAGAAGAGAAACGGTGTGTGTGTGTGTGTGTTCTTGCATGTTAAGCTGATAAAAATCACAGCAATTACAGAGATAAAACTCATTATGTTTTCTTAAGCTTTATTGCTTAATTAGTCCGAGTTTAAGAGCTCGAGGAGAGAATGCGGATCAGATGTTTATCTGTGAGTCACGTGTGCACGTGCGCCCTCTCGTGGTGCATCATGGGAGTGCAGTCCACATTTGTGTTTGGGACACTTTCATGTCATGTTTTATTATAAAATAAAATATGATAGTGAAATATAATATGATAAAAATAAAATATGATCTAACATAATATGATACGTTGTAATTAATAGTAAAATTTACTTTTCAGTGTCGTTTTACTTTTGTAGCCTATATTTCGGAAAGTGTTTCACTTTACCAACAAACTGGATGATTAACATTATAATATAGTGAAGAAAAAATGGTGTTATGTGTTTTAATATCTAGTTTAAAGAGTTTAATTTCGTATTATAATGACTTTAATCTAGATGGTTTATTTTTTGTATTATTGCTTGGCCCAAATCCACTTCCGTAAAAAAATTAATTGAATCAAATTCTCTAAAGAAAAAGATGACAACAAAGTTGACTGAAGCGTGTTTTATACGGAAATATGTTTTGTATTTCAACAATAAAAATGTACTTTTATCTATCTATTTATTTATTTATTTTAAGCAGCATGGGTGATTTTTTTTAATGCTTGAAGAAAAAAAGAAGAAAAAAAAACATTAACAACCTCGTCTTCATTCTCCTCCACAGAAGACGCACACGTATGTGATCCTGCATCTTCCTCCTTGCCCTCCTCTTCCTCTTCGTCAACTGCGAGTCGCATGCGTTGCGTCATCTGTCACCGCGGCTTCAACTCGCGCAGCAACTTGCGCTCGCACATGCGCATTCACACCCTGGACAAACCCTTCGTCTGCCGCTTCTGCAACCGGCGCTTCAGCCAATCATCGACGCTCCGTAATCACGTGCGCCTCCACACGGGCGAGCGCCCATACAAGTGTCACGTGTGCCAGAGCGCGTACTCGCAGCTGGCCGGGCTTCGCGCGCATCAGAAGAGCGCGAGACACCGACCAAACGGCGGGAACTCTGAGGCCGGACATCCACAGTCTCCTCCGGCGCAAATACCAACAGTTTCCCATCATTCACTTCTCCATCACATCCCTACAATGGTGCTCTGAGAGACAAACACAAAAGAGTCCGATTAAATGCACTTTAAAATTCCCGTCTCTCTCTTGAAGTGACTTAAACTGCAGTTCATCGACTGGCCACTAGAGACCGGCTGCAGAAGAGAGTAAAAATGCCCAACTTTACAGCAGAATAAAACATGTTTACACTCTGGTGCGAAAAGTGGTTTTGGTCTATATAGTAAATTTTACCCTTCATGAAAATGTGAGGGGGTGAATTTTTTATAACTCATCCGTTTAAATTATATTAAGCCTTAAAGTACTGCATAATTAAGGGCGTGGCCACTTGAGTGACAGGTTGATTGCAGCTGATCACTACTAGCCGTTAGCGTCAGGTCACTATCCATTTTCGTTTATCCGGGAGTGACGCGCTGCCAAAGATGGCTATGGCTTTAACCTTGACGCAACATCCTCTACAGCTCCAGTTCCGCAAACAATCGCTAACACACATTTCTCAATACTTGGGTCACTTATTCAGAACATTTCACTATATATATACAGAAGTCTGGAGCATTTATTATTATTCTCACTGCCAAAACTCTAGAAAATGGCTCTTGACTCATATGTATATATGGCTATAAAGAATTTTGTGTATTGATCCCTTTTATTGCCAATGTATGAACAGCTTGTAACGAAATTTGAACAACTCGACTGATTTTTATGTGAAGGACTTGGGAATGTTTTTGGCAGGAAAATCACAGATGTGTGAAGAAACTCTCAGTAGTGGACGGGATGTTCGTTGATAGTAAATTGCTGCTAAACATATTTCCTTTTTTTTTTTTTTACCCCTAATCGAAGAACGGAAAAACTGCTGCAGTTCACATAACGGCCACCGGTATCGCTATAACAACGGTTTCTGAATTCTACATCCAGCCTCTTTAAAGTCCCTTTATGCCAAAAAGATTAATGTTTAAGAGTGATAAGGTATGTTTACGAGGTGTTTTAATTCATGAGTTTTTATTACAGTTACAAATGAATTAAAAAAAAAACTAATTAAACCTAAATTCAGTAAATAATACCATGATGGGAACGAGTTATGAAACCCTTAAAAGTTCTATATATTATAAGCAAGAGTGTAAACATTCTTAAATCAAGACACATTTACTGGAGAAGCAAAATGATATCAGATATTTGGTTTTAAAATGTATCAAAATTAGGAGACTTCATGATTACAGTATTTTTATTGTTAAACGGCAGTGAGCATTGCAATTTCAGCTGAAAGGCTAAGCAGTTGTCTTGTTTATTTTGCAATTTAGTTGCAATTATTTGTTCAAATTACAGTGTGTACTTTCAGTTTCTACCTTTTTTTTTCAAGGAAAACTGCTCATTTTCATTTACCTTAAAGAATTGTTATGTTCTAAAAATGTAAATAAATCATGTGAAAGAATGTCACTCTTTTCTTTAAAGAAAATATTACTTTGCATGAAGTCACTGAAATTGTTCAAACTGTAAAGATGACAAGTTTTTATTTCTGTATTGGTGTTTGTTAAGAGTGTGTGTTAAGAGTTGTGTGTTGCTTACAGTAAGTGAGTAGTGCAGGTGATGTGAAGTGTGTATCTCAGGTGACGGCTGCTGTACAGACTGGTTAGAGTATAGCACATGGAGCTCCAGTTGTGTCATTGTCGTTTAGCAATCCAAAAAACTGTAATTTGTTTTTATTAAATGAAGAAATAATGAGTGTGTGTGTGTATACAGTATGATTAGAATGTGTATGTGAGAGAGAGTCTGTGCAAATTCATATGTTTTTTTTTTAAGAGGTTTAGTAAAGTTTGAAAAACGTACTGCACTGGACTATTTTTTATATTATCTCATTGCTTTTGCTCTTGATAGAATGTATATTCTTAATGTTCAATTTACGTATGCTTTCGTAATATTAAATATTTAATGTATACTGAACAGCGCGACACATCGCTCAACCAATGAGAACCACCCATATGGAATAAGCACCCCGTTCATTGGCTTAACCTAAGCGTTCAAAGACGTCATCATGGACAGTGAACCAATCAGGCAGTGGAACACTCGGATGTCCTGGCGGTAAAAACGAAGAGAGGATGTCAACAAAGTAAGAATTTTGACAGAAGTTGAGCTTTTTTGTCATTTTAATTAATAATAACAAGTTTTTTTTTTACTGAGCTATAATGTTTAATCCCCAACATTAGTTGAGCAGTTACAAAACGAGAAAAATCCAGGTAAGCGCGACAATTTTAACTTTAAAGTTATGAGTGTTTTGTATAACGTTAGTGAATATCTTACCTCTAATTCAATATCAAATATCAATTTCGTTATACCCTTTAATGCCGTGTTATTGTTATTATAGATGTCAGCGATGTCTGAGAGAACAGATTGTGTGTTTCTCTCAGCTCTGGGTAAAGGAGACAATTTACATCAACAAGGTTTGAACTTTTTAAATTTTCTTTGTCTCGACTTTTTGTTTTGAAAAGGGGTTCCTTTTTTTCATCCATATTGAATGCATTATTTTAATAATCATAATGATTCTAAGATTGATATTAATGAGTCTCTCTCTCATCATTTGTGCCCCAGTTTTATCAGCGTTCCCGTTGTGTGAGATGACGGAGGAGGATCTGATCCAGAACCCGCTGTTCTGTAAACTTCTGGCGACTCTGTCCCAACATGTGGACCGAACCGGACTCACACAACACCTGAGGAGGGACCTGGAGAAGGTGTGTATGAGAGAGAGAGAGAGAGAGAGAGAGAGAGAGAGAGAGAGAGAGAGAGAGAGAGAGAGAGAGAGAGAGTGTCAGTGTGAATGGACCGAACCGGACACAACAACACCCGAGGAGGGACCTGAAGAAGGTGTGTGTGTGTGTGTGTGCGTGTGTGTGCGTGTGTGTGTGTGTGTGTGTGTGAGAGAGAGAGAGAGAGAGAGAGTGTGAGTGAGTGAGTGAGTGAGTGTGTGTGTGTGTGTGTGTGTGTGTGTGTGTGTGTGTGTGTGTGTGTGTGTGTGTGTGTGTGTCGGTGTGAATGGACTGAACCGGACTCACACAACACCTGAGGAGGGACCTGGAGAAGGTGTGTGTAAGAGAGAGAGAGTGTGTGTATAGACTGAACTGGACTCACACAACATCTGAGGAGGGACCTGGAGAAAGTGTGTGTGTGTGCGTGAGTGAGAGAGAGAGAGAGAGAGAGAGAAAAAGTATGTGTGTGTGCGTGCGTGTCTGATGAAACTGTGTGAGTGTGTGTGTGTGTGTGTGTGTGATTAAATGGTGTGTGTGTGTCCTCAGGCAGAGTGTGAGCTGCGCTCTCAGAGACTGTCGTGGCTGCGTGAGGAGTGTGTGAATCGGGTTCTGCGAGAGATCGTCCAGGAGATCCGCTTCACTAAAGCCTCCAGTTCTCAGACAGCGGAGGACAAGGTGCCCACATCATCAGGGTTTACACACATGCATGTATATGTTTTAGAAATATTTCCATGTACTATATGTATATATATATATATATATATGAAGAGTTCAGATGCAAAAGCCTCTAAGTGCCATTTGAAATTTTCTTCTAGAATGATCATTTTTATCAAGCTTGTATATTTAAGTTCAGTGATTTCACTTAAATGGGGATGAATATTACCTATTAATTGTTATTTAAGTGAAATTACTGAACATCATTAAAGAAGAAAATTTCAAATGGCATTTAGAGGCTTTTGCATCTGAACTCTTCATATATATATATAAAAATCAAGAAAAACTCTCAAATATACATCCTTATGTGGTTTACGCACACATATATGTAAACACAAACTTTAATTTTTGGATGCGATTAATAGTTGTTCAGCTCTAAAATAAATCTTAATCTCAGATTCCTAATATCATGTTTTCAGAAGCTCTTTAGTGTCACATGATCCTTCAGAAATCACTGTAAAATGATGATTTGATGCTCTAAAAACATTCGTTATTGTTATCAGTGTTGAAAACGGTTGTCTACTCTACTTTTCAGCATTCTTTGATAAATATAAAGTTCAAAAGAACAGCATTTATCTCAAATATAATATTTTGTAACAAGTCTTTACTGTCACTTTTGATCAATTTAATTAATCCTTGATGAGTAAAAATATTGATTTCTTTGATTTCTCTCCCCTAAAAAATGAAATAAAAATCTTACCGATCCCAAACTTTTGAACGGCACACACACACAGATATATTACACACGAAAGGAGAAGGAAAACATTAAAAAGCATCATATAACTCAGTTTAATAAGATTTGTCTGTCCTTTTGTGCAGTTCTTCAGCACACTGGAGCAGTGTGTGATGGTGGGTCAGTGTGTGAAATCATCACATCACAGCGGCATTCTGGGATTGATGGCAGAAAGAGTCACGAGGCAGATGCCTCCTGAACAGGTACTGCATTAATCTTATTGGTCAATGGTATGTTTAACATTTGCTGAACTCATTTTTTACGTACTTTTTTTTTGGGATTAAGCAAAGATTATATGCAATGTCTGTTTGCTGTAAATGCAAGAGTTTCAATACAAGTGGGATTACATGAAAAACAATATTTAATGTTCTCTTTTACTAAGCAATATGAGAAATACTGGAATATTACATGGTATTTTTTTAAATAATAGTGTAATAAACATTAAAATACACTCTCTAATAAGTATACCCACAAAACATGTTAACATGAGACATGCATCTGTGTAAAGTTATATGCAATATAACTTCTGTTGTAATGATGTAAACCCTTTTGTTGTGATCTTGGGTTTTGCTGTTAATAATATTAAACAGACAAAAAGGACCAGCTTTTGTTTAAGCGGAGATGATGGCGTTTTTATTATTCACGCGTACTTTACTATTATGTAGTGAATGTTTTTTTTTGTGCAAATCATATTCATCCACAGTCATGCAGAGCCGAAGCATGAATAAAAGAATGTGTTTGCACAAAATCCATGCAGTTTTGTTGTTTAACAAGTCACATTGTGTACTTTTTTTTAAAGATTTTATGTTATATTTCTACTTTTAGGACATTGTGCAAATGAAGCAGAGGTTACCATCAGAACTCCTGCAACATCTGAAGAGGAAGGCCGTCAATATCCTGACGTACTATCAGCCCCAGTGGGGTAAACTCTTCTATATAGTTCATCTTATAGCTATAGTTCAATGATGAACCGTATTTTTTTAATGATGAGATTAGGGATGCATGATATATCGGTATCGGCCAATATCTGTTCATTTTTAATGTTATCGGCTTAATAAGAAAATTTGTCCGATAAATCATGTATTGATCTCTTCAGATGCGCACTGTTCAACATGATGGTGTTGAATTGCTTGAAATATGATTGAAACCACTTAAAAAAAGGAAAATAGTCTGTCTACATACATTTATTATGAGAACATCATTATAATTGTGTGATTGGGGCATGGATTTTACTTGTAAAACTGTTATTTTGCAATCAGGCTCTGAAAAATTATATTAAAATTTGGATTATCGGCCGATATATCGGTTATCGGCTTTCAAATCAAACGCATTATCGGTATCGGCTAAAATGTTCAAATCTGTGCATCCCTAGATGAGATAATTTGTTCGTACGCTGAGTAAGAGGATTATTTATTGCTTCTTCTTTCAGAGAATGAAAGCGAGGGTCTCAGGAGTGTGAAGCTTTCTAAACTTCCTGAACTGCTGGACGGTGAACAAAAGAAAGCAAAGAGCCTCGCTGAGAGAAACCGAGAGAACACCGCGTTACTGCAGAGACAAACCCACGCGTACCTGTCTGTGAGTCTGAAGAAACAACGTTCATGTCTCCACTATCGTCTGGATCGCTGCCAGACAACCCGTCAAACTCGTTTGATTTTTGTTAGTAATGTTACTTGTGTCAAAATAGAAGAAAGAAGAAACGGAAAGCCGAGACACTTCAGATGCGCAAATTTGGACTTTTTTTTTGGCCGATATATCGGTTATCGGCTTTCAAATATAAAGAATTATCGGTATCGGCCAAAATGTTCATATCGGTGCAGCCCTTCAAACTATTCATTTTCAGATGTTAGAAATGTTCTCGCATCACACTTCAGCTCTTTTTACTACTCTTAAGAAATGTTTAGTTAGCAGGGAGGCTGCGGGTCATTAAAAAGTATTAAATCAATTTTCCTAAAAATAAGGCCTTAAAAGTATTAAATTGTCTTAAATTCAGATTGGATAGGTCTTAAATATGTTTGTCGTGTCACCGCAAAGATGCATCGTTCTGCCAGCCAGGTCGAATATTTTCTACGTAAGGGTACTATTCTGTTTATTTCTAAGTGTTTGTAGTATTATTTTATACGCAAATCAATTATTTATAATTCTTATGATGAGAATAAAGTTAGGGTTAATTAAAATTAAGGAAAACAAATATTGATCTGAAATATAGCAAATTAATTTTAATTTATTAAATTAAAAGGCACAATTACCAAACATATCTCAAAGTCTTTTTTATCTTTTTATTAGTTTAATTAATAAACTAATTGTATGAAACCATTATCAGTACACTATAAATAAACTGGTTCTATGACTTTATTAATAAAACTAAATCTAAGCCTTTATCAATATACTTTATTTATTTAAAACATACAAGGCTTAAGACATTCATAAAAACGCAATTGGTTATTGTCATTTCACCATATTTTTGAACAGACGGTGTGTTTTACTTGGAAATATTACTGTATATTTTCATTTTTAATTTATATTTCCATCATAAGTTTGGTCTTAAATTTAATTTAGAAGTGGTCTTAAAAAGTCTTAAATTTAAATTGTTTATACCTGTATCCACCCTGGTTAGGTTAAACCTAATATAGTTTGAGTTTTCAGCAAAAATAGATATTGTTGTAAATTTCCATGGCATGGTGTTAAAAGAACCAAAGCAATGAGTTTTTGAAGTTGATTTTGGCTTAAAATGAGGATCTCATATTTAACGTCACAGTGTTTTATGACACTCATGAAATGATATCTGACATTATTAGATTGTGTTTATGCCAGGTTATTATGGTATATATTATGGTTACATTAACTAGGGATGCACTGATATTAGAGCCCGACCGGTAAAGGATTTTGAAGGCCGATACGATACAAATATTTTTGGGTTTTGAAATCCGATATATCGCCCGATATTTTTTTTTTTTTAAACTGGACATGATAGTCACAAATTTTGTCATGCTTATTTGACTTACGAGAACTGATGGGGATGATCTTTTAATTGTTATTCAAGCAATATGTATCGTGACCAACTCAACGAGTGTTGCCAACAGGGACGGTGTAGAGTGCCCTCTGGTGGACAAACTACACAACTCCAACACTCATGACATGGTTGAAGTGTGTTTCGTCTGTTTTTGTTATTTTTGAAATATTCATCTATCGGTCATTATAACTGCCGATACCGATAGTTTGGAAAATGCCTAATATCGGTCAGGCTCTAACTGATATAAAAATTTGGCCGATATCGATAACCGATAATTCTATATATTTAAAAGTCGATAACCGATATATTGGCCGATAAAGCTAAATCCAAATTTTATTAATTTATTAATAAAATAAAAATTAAATAAATAAAATAATTTTTTTATTATTATTATTATTTGTTTGTGTAATGTCTGTGATGTTTTGCTGTTTTGTGAGGTTGAAGCTACTTAAATTGCCCTGTAAAGGGACAAATAAAGATTTTACTACTACTACTACTCAAGTTTTGAGAGCCTGATTACAAAAACATAAGTCTCCCCATTAAAACCAATGTCCCAAACACACAATTATATATAATATTCTCATTATAATTTTACAGGCTTGCGCTGCACATTGCACTCTACAGTATCTTCCTTTTTTGAAGCATTATGTTGAACAGTGCGCATCTGTTTGCTTTGACAGGAGCTGGTGAAGTGCATGAAGGTCCTTCAGTGTCTCGTTCTGGATCTCAGGCTAAAGGCTCAGAAAGATCTAGACCGGAAGAAGATCGAGTACTTCGAGGCCAAATGCGAGATCGGTTTGCAGAAGATAAGGTGATCATTGCAGCTTTGACTTGTGCTCTGAAAATTTGCATGTTCATAACGACGTGTTTGTTCCTGTAGGGCCGAGATGCTTGAAGTTCAACTGGACACCTACACAAGAGACAAGATCGCAGCTCACAAGAAAATAACGTGAGTTGGGTTTTCACCTGTCGCTGTTTTATTGACGGTTGAAACACTATTTACCTTTTTTAAAGTCCCCTTGTAGTGAAAATGCAGCGTTTAATGTTGTTTATGTGTGCATGTGGTGTTTTTAATCCGCTTACATGAGTGGATATGTAATTCCTGATACCAAGAATTATAGTTTTTAATGGTTGAAATTCAATTGTTGATATCAATAATTAGTGTTTCTGCGAGTGATGATGTCATCGTTGATATCAAGAATTAGCATTGTTACTAGTGTAAATGTAATCCTCAATATCAAGAATGATCATTTTTATCAATTATATTATTAATCAATTATTCATCAACAATTATCTTGCCATACAGGTGAAACTGGATAAAGAGAATATTGTGCAAAAGTTCATTTATTTCAGTAATTCAACTTAAAAGCTGAAACTAATATATTATATAGACTCATTACATGCAAAGAGAGATATTTCAAGCCTTTATTTGTTATAATTTTGATGATTATGGATTACAGATTGAAAACCTTTCACAAGATTCTAATTTTGAATTTGGGTTTTTCATATCTGTAATCCATAATCATCACAATTATAACAAATAAAAGCTTGAAATATCTCACTTTGCCTGGTTTTGACTGTTTGAGTGTGACCTGTGCGTGTTGTGTTGTGTCCAGGGAGAAGCTGAACGCAGAGCTGAAGAGCTCCGAGATGGACAGACAGGCGGTGGAGTCGAAGCTGGCGTCCTTCGAGATCTACGGCAGAGACTTTGAGGCTCTCGCTGACGAATACTCACGCCTACGCCAGGAGATCGCCACCAAGTCCTGGGCTCTGAAGGAGTTCTCCACATGAGTGTATGAATATGAATCCTCATAGCTTGCCCTGTTCATCTGTTGTCCTATTATCAATATTGTTTTTTGCATGCATTTGTTATTGTTGACTATATTGTTAATATAGTAATTAATCAGCGCCACTCAACGAGTTTAGGTTCAGGCAAAATTGACTGGTAGCTATTGTTAATAAATCTTTGATGTGATTTTTCTTTTTCTGGTATTTGTCACCAACGTAGTATAATTTGCACTTTTAGATTGCAGTTTTTATTCTGAGCTATTAAATTACTGTTTATGATGAATGGTGATGTTTCAAAATGATGTTGCTGCCTAAACTACACGCAATCACAATTTTCTAAAACATATTGTTTCCAATACCTTTTTGGAAGAATTTATTTAGAGTATTAATAAATATTATTTGCCGGTCCGGATATTGCTCTTTTTTTTTCTCTCACTTTCATATACTTATGTGAAACTTACAAAATAGACACATTTTAAATTAAACCCTGTTTTAACATGTGGTTAATTAAAACCATAAAATAGTAAATTTTTAAATGTAGATTCTTCGTAAAACACACACACATATTTATATATATATATATAGAGAGAGAGAGAGAGAGAGAGGGAGGGGGAGAGTGTCAATCTTTGTAATGTTAATAAACAAATTCCCATACAAAATATTCAAATAAGGAAATAAAATAAATAAAATTGGTATTAAAATGGATAATAAAAAATATTAAAATAAATAATTACATACATTATACTCAAATAAATATTAAGAAATATTTAAATGAGTAAATAAATGATATTAAAATAAACAAATACATACATTATATTTAAAAAAATAATAAGAAATATATAACAAATATTAAATTATATACAAAGTAAATTAAACTTTGAGTCTATATCAGTCTATATAATATATTAGTTTCACCTTTTAAGTTGATTTATGGAAATAAATGAACTTTTGCACCATATTCTCATTTTTCCAGTTTCACCTGTATATTTATTAAGTTCCTCCACGCCTGTAGGGTCGCGCTGTGAGACGGAAGTGACGCGCTATCAAGAGTAACGTCAACTTCCTCTTTCTACAAAGAGCTGTCAGGAGTTAGCAGTGCTCATTTTTATTTATTTATCGACGAGATGGATGTGGTTCTGTATATCGTAGCTGCGATTATTCTGCTCGTCCTGATCGTGTTCGCTGTGAGAGTTCGTGGACGGACTGAGGAAGGTGAGTGGCGATATGGAGCAGCTGGCATCAATAACCTGATATTATTACTGATCAAAACACTCTTATTAAACTCGTTTGAGGTTTACTGGATGAAAAAATGAATCTCAGGAAGTCTGTGAAGAATATTTGCTTAGTTTCAAGTATACAGAATTATTAATACAGTGTGAGAAATGTATTTAATGATTTCACAATAAATATCATCACAGAGCTGTTTTAGTTTTCACTTTTACTCTAATTTTGTAAAAAAAAAAAAAAAAACGTATTCCTCTCAAAATGTCTATGAAACAGTGTTTTCACAAAACTGTAAAAATGAATAAATAATACAAAATAATATAATAAATAAGTAAATTAATTGTTAAAATGAATGTAAAAAATATTAAAACAAACAATAAAAATATTCAAATAAGTCAATAAATTTCAATTTAATTAAATATTTAAAAGAAATTAAATTAAATTATATTAAATTAATAATAAAAATATATCAATATATAAGTAAATCAATTGTTAAAATAAATATAATAAGTTAATATTATATTAAAATAAATACAAAAAATTAAAAGAAACAAGTAAATAAATAATATTTAAATAAATAAAAAAATTAAAAATTAATATGTAAATGCATTTTAAAACGATTAAAATGAATAATTAAATGGATATTAAGATAATACAAAGTTAATAGATAATATAAAATAAAAACGATTAAAATAAACAAGTTAATAAATGATATTTAAATAATAAAAAGACTAAAATAAACAAGTAAATAAATTATAATAATACATACATAATTAAATGATATTGTCATAATTACATAAATAGTTTGATTAAAATAAATGAATAAGAGTGATGGGAAACTCCGGGTGGATGTTGATGATTCAGATCTCTTGCGCTCCTCTTCTGTCAGCGGACCGCGAGGAGCGGCGGGATGTGGCGTCTCGAGCCGCGGCGCGTCCACAGGCCCTGGAGGAGCGTCCCGCGGGAATGCCCCGCCGCCGGAGGAACCTGCACACCCGAGTGAGCGCGCAGCGGGCACAGCAGGCATCGGACAACGGTACTCGATCCACACACACACATCAGCGGGCATCAGACAATATGGCACTATATTAATAATAAAACCTAATTATTAATATTATTGTGGAAATGTATGTAATTAATTATGTAATTATCCTGTTTACTAATATGAAGCTGCTTTGAATCTGTATGATATGAAGTGCCTTGACGTTTCTGGTTTATGGAGCGATGAAATGAGGAATCCCAAATCTCCTCTGTGTGAAATATTAAAATATCATAATCAGAGCCTGGCTTAATCCAATGTCCAGTGAAAATTATGCAAATGTGTGACTAATTAATTGCACTCATTCACATATTTCTTTCAGAAATCCTGTAATAGAAAACACTTACCTGAATGTGCCACGATTCAAGTGTTGTGATTAGTTCATGTTAGTCAGATATAAGATTTGTTGTTAAAACTCCTTGGATTTGTAATCGTGACCCAAATCCCCAATGACCCTGATGGTGTGTGTGTGTGTGTGTGTGTGTGTGCAGAGGACAGCCCCACGGAGGCCGACGAGCCGCTGTCGGAGGAGCGTCCTCAAGCCGCCGGGAAAGTGGGAGCGAAGAAGCAGAGGAAGCTGGAGGAGAAGCAGGCGCGGAAAGCTCAGCGAGAGGTCACGACCCCGCACTCATGCTCATCTAGGCTCATTTATTTATATTTGTGAAACACAACACATGTTTGTGACGTGTCACTGTGTTTGTGTGTCGAGTTTTCCTTTGTGAAGCAGATCGAGTGTGTGTGCAAAATGCCAAAATTCACTGTGTGTGTGTGTGTGTTTTAGGCCGAGCTGGAGGAGCAAGTGGAGAGGAAGAAGATGCAGGAGCTGCGAGATCAGGAGAGACAGAAAGATGAGGAGAAGGAGAAACTGCTGGAGCAGAAACAGGTCATGTGGACACGTTACACTTCCTGTTTGGCAGAAAAGGCTTTTCTTACTTCCCGTCCAAATATCTGCAAATTCTTAAATCAAAATGCATTTTCAAACTTAATTGAGTCAATTAGTGACGTGACATTTCTTCTGGGTTAGTGACATCACCAACATGATTTACATTTATTTACATTTTACCTAAAATTTACATTAGCCCCGCCCCCGGGAAACAGAATATGACTAGAAGATAACCAACTAACCGTTCAGAAATGTCCTGTTGCTTCTATGCTGTCACTTCTTCAGTGTCTCCATCTTTATCTGACTAAGATTTTGAAATATTCAGGACGCAGCTCTTGAAGCTCCGCCCCCTGTGCCACGAGCAGCAGCTCATTTGCATTTAAAGGGACAGACACAAAAACTGTGCTTTTTTTGCTCACACTCAACAAGTGACAATTTTAACAAGCTATATAACAATATCTGTGGGGTATTTGAGCTGAAACTTCACACACACACACACACACACACACACACACACTGGCGACATCAGAGAGTTATTTTACATCTTGTGAAAAGGGGATTATAGGACCCCTTTAAAGGATTAGTTCACTTTTGAAAAAAACTTTTGCTGATAATTTACTCACCCCCGTGTCATCCAAGATGTCCATGTCTTTATTTCTTCAGTCAAAAAGAAATGAAGGTTTTTGATGAAAACATTCCAGGATTTTCTCCATATAATGGACTTCAATGGGGACCAAACGGTTCAAGGTCCAAATGAGAGTTTCAGTGCAGCTTCAAACGACACCAGACGATGAATAAGGGTCTTATCATGCGAAACGATCGCTTATTTCAAAACTTATTCCAAAAATGTCTGAGGACAAATGCTAGCCTTGCTCTATTCTGTGCGGCGCGTTTGTAACGTCACGTAATACGTAATTACGTTCAAAAGGTCACGGGCGACGTAGCCGGAAGTACAGAGTCAAAATCGTCCGACATCGTTGTTTTACCTTTTAATTCCTTTTTTGTAAACGGCGTTTGAGTTAGTTTGCACGTTCAACCTATGCGTTCAACTTGTAAACACTGACTCTGTACTTCCGGCTACGTCGCCCGTGACCTTTTGAACGTTATTACGTATTACGTGACGTTACAAACGCGCCTCAGAGAATAGAGCAAGGCTGGCATTTGTCCTTAGAAAAGTTACATTTCTGGAATAAGTTTTGAAATAACCGATCGCTTCGCATGATAAGACCCTTATTCATCGTCTGGTGTCGTTTAAAGACATTTGAAGCTGCATCTGAAACTCTCATTTGGACCTTGAAGCGTTTGGTCCCCATTGAAGTCCATTATATGGAGAAAAATCCTGGAATGTTTTCATCAAAAACCTTAATTTCTTTTCGACTGAAGAAAGAAAGACATGGACATCTTGGATGACACGGGGGTGAGTAAATTATCAGCAAAAGTTTTTTCAAAAGTGAACTAATCCTTTAAATCAAGATGCATTTACTAGATAAGTAAAGTATTATGTCTCGTTTTCTAGGGAGTTGTTGCTTTAAAACAAGCTAAATGATCTGCCAATGGGGTCAGAAAAATAATCTTGTTTCTGTTTGAATTAACATCAATTTACTGAACACATTGTCAGATAATTTACCTTTTTTTTTAAGCAACAACTCTCTAAATTTAGATTTATTTCCCCAGAAAACAAGACATAATATCTTATGGCATGTTACACATCTAGTAAATGCATCTTGATTTAAGACTTTTTGGAAATTTGGACTGGAAACAAGACAAAAACATGCTTTATATGTGCAACACCGATCAGTAACCGTGTGTAAACGTGTGGTCCACAGGAGGAAGAGCTGCGTCGTGCCAAAGAGGATCAGGAGAAGAGAGAGGAGGAGGAGTACCAGCGGATAAAGGAGGCGTTCGTGATCGAGGACCAGGGAGAAGCAGAAGAGCTGGACGAGCAAGAGGTGCGTTCCTCAAAGCGCCACAGTTAGCGACGGGAGGGAGCGTGTTTGCAACTGTGTGTCCATGAACACCTGCAAAGGTTGTGAAAGGTCATTTTAGGGTCATTCCTGGTTGATTTATGAAGGCGAGACACGGCAGGTTTTTTTTCACTGGTTGATTTGGGGATATTTGTCTTCAGTAACATGTCTTCTTTCAGTCAGAAACACACATTTAGGTCTTTATTTTACGGCACTTTGTCTGTGTTTGTAGATTTTAGGGCTGGGTAATAAATATCGATTTCTCGATATTAATCGATTCTCATTTTTACGAACCGATATCGATTCTTAAATCTCAAGAATCGATTAGTCATCCTGTTTCATTTGAATGAATGGATCATTGTATCGCGGCTGCGCGCATCCAAAAAAATCATCACAATAATCTTTGTCCTTTGTTACTATTGATATGAAACAAAGTCTCAATTTTGAAATTACGTCCATTTTCTTTAGAAATTCAGAAACATAAATAGTGTTTTGTCGCTGTGGCGTGAGATCGCTCTGGAGAAGCAGCAGCGCTGATCTCTCTTCCGGCTTAATAATACCAGTTACAGCGCCAAATAAACATGAATGAGCATCTGAAAGTGTGTTAAAGATAGAGGACAACTTATCCAAATCCAGATCATGTCACATTGATTCGCTCAATCAGCGTTTCAACCGTGGAAAGACGTCAGTTAAACAGCTTGTAATCAATGTCATGTATCGTCATATTTACCTCAGAAAACCCACATAAACTCGTTAGTCAGCTAGAAAAAATAACTCTAGAGAGGAGCATTTTGCTAAATATATACACCATATTACATATGAATTATAATCTTAATGTTCTTCAATATTTAATGCATATTTGAATAAATCTGGCAAGTTTTTATGACAGCCACCATTTAAATGTTTATATTTCATATAATCTTCTTATTATAAAATAAATAAAAGTGTAATTTAAGTGTTTGTAAAGCTACAAAACAGTTCATTATTACCTTCATATTAGGCTAATGAAGCCCAACTAGACTCCCATAGTTTACAGCATTAGTTCAGAGATTTGATTCCCTTGAGAAAAATTGCCATTTATTGTAACGGATATCCAAAATAATCGATATTGAATCGAATTGAAATCGAAGCGAATTGTGAAATTTGTCTCAATACCCAGCCCTAGTAGATTTCTCATAAATCGATGTAAATCACACACACCGCTAGAAGCTCTCTCTCTCCTGTACGCTTTTAAGTAAAAACGTTGATCTGATTGGTTACAGGGTGGTTTGTGACGTCAGAAACACCAGCAATTTCAAAGCGTGAAAGCAGATTAAACACACATAAACAACATTAAACGCTGGATTTTTCACATCATGAACCCTTTAAGGCGAAACAATATGAATGTAAAGCAAAATCTATCCGATTTTAAAGTCATTTTGTGTTTTTCAGTCTCGCAACCTCCTGCAAGAGTTCATCCAGTACGTCAAGGTAACGTCTGTCAGTCATACATCAGATTAAAGCTGTTAATGCATTCATATGTGTGAGTTGAAAGGCTATAATACACTATGATATCCTGTACAAATTAAAGATATTTTATTACAATTGTCTCTTTGTATTTGCAACTTTAATGAAGCGTTTTAAACGAGCGATCAAATGATCAGTCTTTTAATGGAAATCAAAACAGATTCTGATTCAATTAGTCAATTCAAATATTATTCAGACACCAAATATATATTTTCACTAGTGTGTGCAGGACACTATCGTTCATTGATGTAAGTGAGGAGAGCAAAATAAAGTAAACTGTGACATATTATAACCAAAAATGCTTCATACACTGAATAAAAAACATTTGTGACCAAAAATGACACTTTGAGCTGATGATATTCTGCTGAAGTGTGTTTTCTGTAATCGCTAATGCTCTTTTCACACACACACACTGAACAACATGAAGCATTGCTTGGTCACTGGTTGAGCTAAACTGGTATTATCTAATTGTGTAGTTCAATTTACCAGCTGACAGATATTCAACATAACCAGTCAAATATCCACTGATTATGGTCCTATTTTATTAGCATTTTCTAAACTGTGATAATGTGAGATGTTGAAGGAGTCTGGATATATTTTGGTTTGACTGTATATCTACTGCAACACAATCGTTTATATGATACCCTATATTAATGGCTCTTGTGTTCACTTCTGTCTCCCACTCAGAAATCGAAAGTGGTTTTGCTGGAGGACTTGGCGTCTCACTTTGGCTTGCGCACACAGGTCAGGGGTCAGTGTTCACAGGTCTGACTTCAGAACACATTGGAGTGCTTCAAGCTGATTTTGCGATGTGTTTCTTCCCGTCAGGATGCTATTGCCAGACTTCAGGACCTGATCGCAGACGGTTCCCTTACAGGTACGAGTGTGTGACTTCATCCTGATGCAAAACACTCACATAGACCGTTACAGCAGTTCCTCAACCTCGCTTTTTAGAGATGTGCGATATCCATATTGGTATCGGGCGATATGCGCACTGTTCAACATGATGATTATGAATTGCTTGAAATATGATTGGAATCACTTTTTAAGCGCAAGTCTGTCATATCGGCTACATAAAATTATCATGAGAACATCATAATTGTGTGTTTGGGACGTGGATTTTAATGGTGAGTTTGTCAGGCTCTCAAAAATTATATTAAAACTTGGGTTTAGATTTATCGGCTGATATATCGGCTTTCAAATATAAAGAATTGTCGGTATCGGCGATATCGGTACATCTCTACTATTTTTATAATGCAGTTTATGGTTTCTGCTGGTCTTAAAGTCTTAATTCATATATTCACAAATAACAGCCTTAAAAAATGTGGGAATCCGTGGGGAATTGGTTGTGGTTTGCTATTGGTGGCAATTAACATTTCTGATTATTATTAATGTTGAAAAAAAATTGATGAATAGAAGGTTCAAAGTAGATTTATCCGAAATAAAAATAAAAGCTTTTGTATCATTATAAATGTCTTCACTCTTTCTTTAAATTCTTTGATTAGTGCATGTAGCCTATAATGTTACAAAAGCTTTCAGATATTTCTCTATACATTTATTTCAGATAAATGCTATTATTTTGAACCATGGGTTGTGTGTAATGTGAAAAAATAAAAATTAGTTTTAGAATAGAATAGTACAACCGTCTGATTACCCTCTGAAAGGTTGATTAAAATTGTAGAATTATATTAAAAACAGATGATTGAAATCCAACATTTCTCTTTGTAACATCTTGTTCAGGTTTGATTCTAATTATAGTGGAACATTATTGAAAAACTTGTTAGTATGAACATTTTATAATTGTGATTTTATAATATTTACATATGAATCCAACTGGAAAAACTTGTGAAAATATATATATTTTGATTAGGCAAATAGCATATAGTGGAGCTCTATAGCTATCTTTTTTCTTTTCATTTTAAAACTGCATTTTCCAAAAAATCTTACAATAAACCATGTAGAATTATCCATGTTGTCTCCATGAATGAAATTTAGAAATCTGGGTCTTTTATAAAGTGAATTTTACATAAAATGCAGTTTTTTTGTTGTTGTAAAAAGCATATTTAATTAAATAAATATTTAGTTATTTATAGAAATTTAAAACACATCATAAATCCTCCAAAAACTGCACAGATGTTGAGTAAAAACATTAATAAACAGAGTAAAATTACATTTGGGGAAAAAAAAAAAAAAATTACTAGTGTTAACACAAATAAAGATAATCAGGGGGTTAAACAAAACAAATGTTTTTATGTCTGAGAACCTTTTAAACGCATACCAAACTGAAATGATGACGTGTGATAGGCTACAGTTGCCTACAAATCTTACATTAAACCATGTAGAATTATCCATGTTATCTCCATGAATGAAAGTTAGAAATCTGGGTCTTTTATAAAGTGAATTTTACATAAAATGCTGTTTTTTTTAAATAAATATTTATTTATTTATAGAAATTTAAAACACATCATGAATCCTCTAAAAACTGCACAGATGTTGAGTAAAAACATTAATAAACAGAGTAAAATTATATAAATTTAGAAATTTGGGTCTTTTATAAAGTAAATTTGACAAAAAAAAGTTACATTTTTTTAAAAACATTTTTAAATTTATTTATGTATATTTAAATTATGTCATAAATCCTTCAAAAACTACACAAATGTTGAGTAAAAACATTAATAAACAGAGTAAAATTACATTTGGAAAAAAAAAAAACTTTTATTCTGTTACAAAATTGAATGTTATTGTCTAGGTCGGGTCCCTGGAGACCCCAATGATAACTAGTGTAGACACAAAATGAAGATAATCAGGGGGTTAACCAAAACAAATGTTTTTATGTCTGAGAACCTTTTAAATGCATACAAACCTGAAATGATGATGTGTGATAGGCTACAGTTGCCTACAAATATTTTGAGTGTCCCTTATTTTCCTGTAAAGAACCACGATTGTCCCGCATTTCTGAAGTTGGCAACCCTACACGAGGCACACGAATAATGTTGTGTTTGTCCAGGAGTGATCGACGACCGAGGGAAGTTTATCTACATCACCCTGGAGGAGTTGAGCGCTGTGGCTCAGTTCATCAAGCAGAGAGGAAGAGTGTCCATCTCTGAACTCGCTCAAGCCAGCAACACCCTCATAAACCTCACGCCCGACATCCACAGCGCACCAGCGTAACACAAAGGACTCGACAATCCAGTGGGATGCAGCATATCATTCATAGTCTGGAATGGCAGAGCTACGGATAGAGCTCGTAACAAAGGAAACTTTATATCCCACAATTCTGACTTTAATTCTTGCAATTTTTCAGAATTTGGTTTAAATCTCACTATTCAGAGTTAATACACTGCAAAAAATGCTTTTCTTATTTAGTTTTTGTGTCTTGTTTCCAGTCCAAATATCTAAAAATTATTAAATCAAGATGCATTAACTAGATATTATTATCATATTATGTTTTGTTTTCTGGGGAAATAAATCCAAATTAGCTGAGTTGTTGCTTAAAACAAGCAAAATTATCAATAATGTTAATTCAAACAGAAACAAGATTGTTTTTCTGACTCCATTGGCAGATCATTAAACTCACTTAATTTCCCCAGAAAACAAGACATAATATCTAATGGCATTTTACTCATCTAGTAAATGCATCTTGATTTAAGCATATTTAGATATTTGGACTGGAAACAAGACAAAAAAAATGCTAATTATGATTTCATGGACTCTGAATTGGATTTTGAGTGCTTGAGAAGAAGATTGTATATCATTAGTCTTACACACACATTTAAGGCAGGGTTCTCACTCCTGTGGAAAACTGAACATGAGGGGATTTTAAAACTGATCAATGGAGTTTTGTTTTTCATAATATATTTTTTCTAGCAAGAATCAAGTCTACTATAGGCCTATTTCATGCACTGTTAAATGACCGCTTAAGGCCTTTATCACAAACAACCTAAAAAGTCATGGATATTTATTGGTCAGAAACTGGGAACCCTGTCACTGTTGACTGTCCTGTTTAATAAAAAAAGCATCACAAACTACAGTTGGCTTTATTTTAGCCTAATGAAAATGTAATTGTTAATAATTATTTATTGTCTATTTCACCTTAGCGGATCATCTTTATTATTTAGATTCTCCCTAGCAGTATCGAATGAGAAACAGAAAGCATGCATATCATATGAGGACTGCTTTATTCCCGGCAGGAATTATAATTAGCCTACTGGTTGTTTGGCTCGTGACATTAATTTCCCTGAGGCGAAACTTTTCTATTTGCACATCATTTTTGTTTTGGTTTTAAAGATTTATAAATACAGCCAGGTGTTATATAAAGGATAGGATGCGTTATAAATTAGGATAAATAGGAAAAAAATAAAATAAAATCAAAGAATTCGGAGTCAAGTGTCTCGTGTTGTGTTGTGAATGTGTGTCTTGCATGTGTGCGTCGAGCCTCTAGAGGGCGCTGTGTGAGCGGAGCCGCGCATGCGCAGTGTTCTTCATCTGCTTATGTTGATTCGTCCCGTGTTGGTTTTAAACCACCACACTAGCTTAAATGTGTGCTGGAGGTTTAAATAACGCGAGCAGAAGACGTATCCGTTCACCTTTAGCCGTGTCGAGTATGAGAGGTGCAGAAAATCAACGCTTTGTTTAGCGTAGAGAATGTTTTATAGCGGTTATAATGTCACGAGCGATTTTTTGAGGAACGTCGTTTTCACTCTGTGACGTCACGCGGAACTCTGTCAGGTATTATTATTTCAATTTCATCTCTGTTTTGGTTTTGTTATCCTCGAATGGTTTGTAATGCTTAATATCGCTTACAATACTGAGACCGGGGCTAGTTGTCACGTGATCTGGACCAAAGGGCAGGTTCGGGTTGTCACGTGATTGTTTTATGTTGCGATCTAGTTTATTTATTTAGCCTACGTTAAGTTGCATTCTCTGTAGGATACTCTCTCAATAATATTCCATAATATTCTCATATTCTCTAATGTGACAACTAGCCCCAATCTTCTACACAAGTGAACTTTATGTGTGTCACTCACCAGGGAGTAATAATGCTGGTGTTTCTTTTTATTTCTCCAAAGCTACTCTGTTTATGAACCTTAAACACTCAAAAATGTGCAAAAGCATTTGAATTCAGTGCGTAAGATGCACGAGATGGGCGTTTTTCCCTTGACTTTTTGTCTCCACACTGAATGTGCTGCTTTTAAACCCCATCTCTCCATCAGCATGACCCTGGCGTTGACCCCTGCGTCCGTGTGCCAGTGCTTCACTCTGGTGTCGCTGTGCACATCCATCGCAGACCCAAACTGGATCCAGGTCCAGAACTCCTCCGATCCCGACAGCAAACTCATCTACGGCGTGGCCTTCACGATGCACGCGTACCAGAACCGCACCGACACAGGTTTGATCCAATACTTCTGGATTTTCTTATAAACATCTGTTCTGTAATTTCCTATTATGAAAATATTATCAAAGCGCTGTATAAATGAAGGTGATTCGATTGTTCTGATGTGTGTGCAGGTCCGTTGGGTGGTTTGCACGGATGGGGAATGTGGCTCCTGTATTCGCTGGCAGCTCTCTGTTACTGCGCTGTCTTGTTTTCAAGCTTCTCATTCCTGATGGATTTCCTCGGAGCATCTGTCAATCAATCCAAGCTGGTGACATCACTGCACGTCTCCACAGGTGACATCACTCCACCTGAACACGAGTGCGATTGGAATTGTTCCTACAGTCAAACCAAAGTGTTTTCAGACACCTTCATCATTTCTCACTTTATCACAGTTTTAGATATTTGGACTGAAACCAGACAAAAATACATCTAGATTTGAGCCTTTTTAGATATTTGGACTGAAACAAGACAAAAAATACATCTAGATTTAAGCATTTTTAGATATTTGGACTGAATGAGTCAAAAAATACATCTAGATTTAAGCATTTTTAGATATTTGGACTGAATGAGTCAAAAAATGCATCTAGATTTAAGCATTTTTTGATATTTGGACTGAATGAGACAAAAATACATCTAGATTTAAGCATTTTTTGATATTTGGACTGAAACCAGACAAAATACATCTAGATTTAAGAATATTTAGATATTTGGACTGAAACAACACAAAAACACATCTAGATTTAAGCATTTTTTGATATTTGGACTGAATGAGTCAAAAAATACATCTAGATTTAAGCATTTTTTGATATTTGGACTGAATGAGACAAAAATACATCTAGATTTAAGCATTTTTTGATATTTGGACTGAATGAGACAAAAATACATCTAGATTTAAGCATTTTTTGATATTTGGACTGAATGAGACAAAAATACATCTAGATTTAAGCATTTTTTGATATTTGGACTGAAACCAGACAAAATACATCTAGATTTAAGAATATTTAGATATTTGGACTGAAACAACACAAAAACACATCTAGATTTAAGCATTTTCTGATATTTGGACTGAAACAAGAAAAAAACACATCTAGATTTAAGCATTTTTTGATATTTGGACTGAAACCAGACAAAATACATCTCGATTTAAGAATATTTAGATATTTGGACTGAAACAACACAAAAACACATCTAGATTTAATCATTTTTTGATATTTGGACTGAAACTAGACAAAATACATCTAGATTTAAGAATATTTAGATATTTGGACTGAATGAGTCAAAAATACATCTAGATTTAAGAATATTTAGATATTTGGACTGAATGAGTCAAAAATACATCTAGATTTAAGCATTTTCTGATATTTGGACTGAAACAAGACAAAAATACATCTAGATTTAAGCATTTTTTGATATTTGGACTGAAACAAGACAAAAATACATCTAGATTTAAGCATTTTCTGATATTTGGACTGAAACAAGACAAAAATACATCTAGATTTAAGCATTTTTTGATATTTGGACTGAAACTAGACAAAAATACATCTAGATTTAAGCATTTTCTGATATTTGGACTGAAACAAGACAAAAATACATCTAGATTTAAGCATTTTTTGATATTTGGACTGAAACAAGACAAAAATACATCTAGATTTAAGCATTTTTTGATATTGGACTGATACGAGACAAAAATACATCTAGATTTAAGCATTTTTTGATATTGGACTGATACGAGACAAAAATACATCTAGATTTAAGCATTTTTTGATATTGGACTGATACGAGACAAAAATACTTCTAGATTTAAGAATATTTTGATATTTGGACTGAAACAACACAAAAACACATCTAGATTTAAGCATTTTCTGATATTTGGACTGAAACTAGACAAAAATACATCTAGATTTAAGCATTTTCTGATATTTGGACTGAAACAACACAAAAACGCATCTAGATTTAAGCATTTTTGTCTGTGTTTCTCTTATTTCAGCGGTCAGCTGTGTGTCAGTGCTGGGTGTGTGTGTGGCGTGCATGTGTGTGATCGAACACAACCTGCACCGAGGGAACCCCGGATCTCAGCCGAACCGCATCCTGATGCCCGGGGAAAGCCTCTTCATCCAGATATTGGGTTTGCTCTTCTCTCTCGCGGCGTGCGCTTTCACCATCAAGGCTCGGCCAGAACCCGTCAGGTCATGTGACTACCTGAGCGTGGGCGGAGACGACAGTGATACGGAGCCTCTGATTGGTCGAGCTGAGAGGGAGGAGTAAAGTCGCATAGAGTTTAACCTCTATAAAGTAAAGAGGTTCACTTGATTTATGCACTTTATTTCTTATGACGGGAAACAAACGCGATCGGACAAACACGCAAAACTAGGTGTTTATGCAATTCAGGGAGAATTTGAGTTGAATTGGTCACACAGGATGTAGAATTGGAATGACAGGAAGTATTTATTTCAAAAAATAATTCAAAACTTCATTGAGATAGCATGATACTGTAGTTTTTATAAATATTTTAAATACTTTTTAATATATTTTCCCTTTGGATTTAATTTTTTTTTGTAATTTCATTGTTTTTCAATGTCTGTTTTATAACAGTTTTAGTTATTAAGTTGAACTTAATGAAAATGAGAAATGTTACTGAAATAAAAGTTTGTATTTTATATTTTATTTTGTTAAAATAAATTCGGTTTACGTTTGTTTAATTTTAAGCAACAACTTTTTTTAATGCTTTTTAGTTTTAGTTAACTATAATAACACTGAAACAAATATTTTGATAAAACAATTCATTTGGACTAAATTATGTTGTTTAGCTTATTTGACATTTTTTCTCTAATATTGTTAAAGCAATTAGCAAACTTTTGTCATGCAGCACCAAAACAAAATAGTTTTACTCTATCAAAGTCATCTACCATAATAATCCAATCACATTCAATTTTTAACAATAAGATTCAATTTAGTAGTGAAATTTTTATGACTTTTTAAGTGAACAAAAAAAACAGCTGCTATACATGAATTAAAAACGAATTTCTTAATTCTAAAAATGAAAAATTGTTTTTTTTTCTTTCTTAAAAATAGCCTAATTTCTGTGTTGACAAGAACATATTTATGGATAATATTAAAATATATAAAATTAAATATAATGTATATATAAAATATTAAAATTTAATGTTTTAGATTTTATTCTATTTAATTTTTATTTGTGCACAGATAAAAATAAATAACAATAGAACACATTGAACTGTTAAGGGCTTATTTGTTTATTTCACCTGAACAATATTTAATTAAATTAAATTATCTTAATTACAATTCTGTATCCTGTTTGCAACTTCAATTACAATTCAGTTCAGTATTCAATATTGGCTCAATATTGGCTACACTTCAGCACAACTACTATTATTAATGCCAGAATTATGGGAAATGTAGTTTTTCTGTAAGTATGATCATTCCAACATGACTTGAGGTGCTTCATGCAGTAAAACTCAGTTTACTCTCGGACCAAATACAGAAACCACTAGTCAAGTCAAATCGAAGTCACACTCGATTTATTTCAGGAGTTTGAGAGCAGACTTACATGTGAACGCTCTAAATGAAACAAACTCAACAGCCTTTATGCTGCATACTCATATTTAATATTCAATTCATGCATAACTAAGAGGAAATGATATAAAACTCAATATGATGTTGTATCCGACCAGGTGTGAACCGAATAGAAAGTGGACTGAGACCCGATCAGCATTCCAGCATTCGGAGTCCGCTTTCTAATGCGGTGTAAAAGTTCTTATTCGCTTCACCTAAAGGTGCACTATGTAAGAATTTTGCGGTAAAATATCCAAACATCACTAGGCCAGTGTTGTATATCCAGTTAACTGTCACCGTCCCACAGGTGGGACACTTGCCATTATATTTTTAAAACAATAATATCTTAGAAAAGACCTTAAGTAATATTGACAAACTATATATCATTTGAAAGCTTACAATCTCTAGTTTCCATATTTGGTGACTGATTTTCAAAATAATTTACACACGAGCCGTAATTTATCAATTTGCAACAAGAATATTTTCATACTCATAAAGCCTGTTTAGACCTTTATTTTGAAATAGCAATGAACATGAAAAATCATGAAAAAAAGTTAGAAACCTCAGTTTGATTTCATGCCAAGAGTTCAAAAGATAGCATCCATTCAATTATTTTAGAAAAAAGGTCTGAAAATGTTTTAAATATTACGAAAAAAAAATAGATTCACCATTTGTGTTATGGCAATAAGCTATAACGCGCATGCGTGTGCTTTGTATGTGATTCCTAGAGGTTGAATTCATATTGAAATCTGCCAAACTACCCATACTACTTCTGAATAGGATTTCTACTTCATAAATTGTGTGAAATTTGTGAAAATAATGGTTCAGATCACTCAAAACACATATGGAAATGGAGACGCCCTTATATGGGCAGTAATGGAGTCTGGTCGTGCCCTAGTGAAAAAGTTTGGTACTGCGCCCAAACTAAATCTCACTGAAAGCTCATTTTTTGAGATATCAACCTAAAATTTGAAACACAACTTGTTCAGATTTTTGGCTTTGATTTTTCTGCAGTTTTAGAGTAGCCCAGGTTTTGAAAATATATATTTTATATAAAATATGAATAATTATTTTTTTTACATTGTACATTTCTATACACTCAAACTTCTATAACTTTTTTTCCGTTTCACTTTCCTAATTTATTTCACTTCGAGAAAAATCTGCCAAATGTCTTCTTTAAAACGAGACCAATCTTAAGTCTATATTCCAAAGCATTCTTGAATTACAACCATTTAAGATTGAAATGAGCATTTCCATGTCTATTCAAAAAAGGGGGGGTGACAGTTAAGAGGATATTTTGTTTAGTTGATTACTTACGATATCCCATACGTTTCCAACTATCTGGAGATCGTGAGAAAATTGTGATTTTAACCAAGGAGCCAGTCAATGACATCATATCCCCTTTACCATAGTAACCATGGCGACAGTCGTGGACAACAGCGTTACGGCTAGCGGCGCTCACACTGTTGTTGTTTTGTTCAAACATTTTGGTCCATGGCAAGCAGACTTTGGGACAAAAGCAGAACTAAAACAAGGATCTATATCATTTTCAAGATGCCGCGAGCTAGCGTCCGCGACTGACTTCGACTTGACAGAGACGCGAGTGGCGTCTTTGTCAAGAGTGTTGCATGTGCTTTATTAGACAGGTGTGCAAATGTACATAAAACTATTCATTGTTATATAGCTCAACATGATGAAATGTTAGAATATGATCTGTGTGTTATTGTAATGTTGATTTAGCTTACTCGTAGTCTCATATAGCCAACAAACTTAACACATAAAGTAACATTCAACACTCTCGTCATGAGAAAAACATCAATGTATTCACTCATACATAAACATTATTAGATTAGATCCATCAGCTTGACGACAAGTTCCATAATGCCACTTACTTCTTTGCGTCATCAACCTACGCAACCTTTGTTATTGCAAGAGGATAGTGACCCCTAGCGGCTAAAAAATGACATAGTGCACCTTTAAAGGGAGAGTTTAAGATGAAAACTGAGTGTAAAGATATTCAGGGCTGTTTTTCATCTTTTGGTTATTTCTGTGATTTCTGTGGATAAATGAATCAAACACCGATCCTCTGTGTGCCTTGAGCTTCCTGGAAGAACTTTTATTTTGTAACGTCACGTGTCTGAAAAGAGGTTTTAGAGCTGTTAAAGGGATACTTCATCCAAAAAAAAAAAAAATGCTATTTTTTTTTTTATTTATTCGCCCTCAAGTTGTTCTACTTGTAAGAAAGAAATACTATGAAAGTCAATGGGGTCCAAAAATGGTTTGATGACCAACATTCCTATAAAATATCTTCTTTTGTGTTCAACATAAGAAAGAAGTTCTTACAGGTTTGGAACAACATTAAAATGAGTAAATAACTCTTAAATAATAATAATACTCACATTTTTATTTTTAGGTGCACTGTCCCTTTAAATCACCTGCTCCTCCTTCAAAACATCGAAATATAAGCTTTACGTTTTATAGCAAACATTGATCTTGATAAATCAAATGAATTCTGTCTCATACTGTATTTGTATTTCCCTCTTTTAAACATTTGTTGTTTGATATTCTGTTATTTCAGAGTAATTATGACGTATTTCCTTTGAAGGAATCGCTCAACCCCAAATGAAAATTGTCATGTTGTACAAACAAACCTTTCTTTCTTCTCATGGAGGAAAATATTATTAGCAAAAAAATGATTTAAATGTCATACAAAAGATTCATAATGCTCAAGATTCTATTGTTATGATATATTTAGAGAGTGTAAATCTCATTTATGTGCATTTTTGAATGAATCTCACTGCATATTTCACAATGATCGTTCATTTTGAGACATGGCAAACACTGTGATTTCAAAAATTGTAAATACTCACTGTGTTTAAAGAGGACATATACAATTTTTAGTCATGTCTGGTGAAGCCATTGCATTTAATTGTGTGAAATACAAAAAAAAAAAAAAAGATATCTTCATTGTTTCTTGTCCAAAGTTGAGCTTGAAACGTCTTAATGATCTGGGCCGTTCACTAAATGAACCTTCATGGTAACAGTGGAATCATGGGACGTCGTGCCTTAGTTTCTCAGCTCTAATTAGACTCGTTCACCTTCGTCACATGACACCAGCTTGCGCTCCCATTGGATGGAGACTATCGCCATAGTAACCTTGAGAAGTTGTTGATGTCACAGATGAATTTGTGAATGGGGAGAGAGAAAAATTAATGTAACGTTTATCAACTACGTTAGTTTTGCCTATAACCATGATTAAGCTCTGAACTGAATGGTAGAATAGAAATGATGTGGAATTGAAGGAAAGCTGATGTTTGCACTGAAAGGGCCGTGTTTATTATCATCATCTCTAATGTTTCATGAGTTTGTTCTTAAAGCAACGCATGCATAATATATATTCGTTCTGATGATGTCATTTATGCCACGTTTAAATGAAGATAACGCTTTGAACAATACTACGATCTCACTTTATTTCCTTTGTCTTACTAATGAAAAGCTGTTTACAATTATGGTTGCATTTTGTTAACATTGACAATATATTTTCACAGCATTTATTAGTCTGTTAATGTTAGTTAAGAGACAATTGTTCTTTGTCCATGTTGGTTAAAAAATACACTGTTAACAGACACAACTTTTGATTTTAAATAATATTTAATAACCTCAACCCCTATTTAGACACTGAAAAAATCTTTATGCCATAAAATATCTTGAATGTAACTCGACACCCTTGCCTCATTTAGTATGCGCGGTTCTATGAATATGCGAATGAGCCACGCCTCCACTCACTCAGAGTTGACGATCACACGTTGATCTGGTTATGAGGTCGTTTGTGACGTCATAAACACCAGCGATTTCAAACCGTGTTTTTGAGACGCGTTTTCAGTTTTAAGGAGGAAATACTTATGAACTTACACATGGTGTGTGTTAAAGCGTATTATACACACCACACACACACATAAACAACATTAAACGCTGGATTTACACCACAGGGGGACTTTAAATTTTTGTAACCAAAAGCCGGTAAATCTAAAATTAGTTTCTATGAAGTTACATATTCTCTTGCACTGTTAAATGTATTTGTTTATTTAAATTTTAATCGAATTAATAACAAACATGTTTTGCATTATGCATATAGTTTAACTGCTTTGGATAAACGTCTCTGCTAAATGAATAAATGTAAATAATAAGAGTAAATGATGTATATAATTACATCCTCAACCAAAACCTAACTCTTATTACATGTAGTGAATTATTATTTCTCAGTAGTACTTAAATATGTAAGTAGGCCTACACTGTAACCTTAAAATAAAGTGTAAGCGAATTTATTTATTTAATTGAATCTTATTATTTATTTGCAGTTTTCATGTCCAGTTTGATATTATTATAATGTTTAAATGATATGCGGGAAGGGGGCGTGTCTGCCCGCGTCCAAAAGGGGGCGGGGCTCACGTGGGTGTGTCTCTCAGCTGATGCGCGCCGCCTTTCTCACGCGCGCGCACTTCATCTCCAACGCGGGCGTCAGCGGCAACGCATCGCGTTCGTTCGTTCGTTCGCTCGCTACGGCAGATCAGCATCCGAACGAACGGACAGACACACGGACAGACGGACCCGCGGTGAGACAGTGAGTATATGTGTGTGTGTGTGTGTGTGTGTGTGTGTGTGTGTGTGTGTGAGATGGAGACACTCGAGTCGCTGGATGCTGCTGTTGTCATGGAGGGATGCGGATTCAGTGATGCATCATTTTGCATGAGCAGAAACACGCATTATGTAATGCGATCAGGTGAACGCTGGATCTTCATTGAGCACCCGTCGTTAAATGCACAATTTATGATGTTATTATGACAAACGCAAG